GGGATAATAAGAACACCCTTGAACTTGCCCATAAATCAGGGATTCTTAACCCTTTTGTGTGTTCCCTGGATCCCTTTAACAGTCTGGTGAAGCCTCTGATAAATCCCTTCTTGGAATACATGCATAAAATAAAATACATATTGGATTACAAAGGATACCAATTATGTTGAAATTCAGTTACCAAAAGTATTTTTCAAACCAAGTTCACAGACTCAGATAAGAAGCCCTGCTCCAGATTTAAAAGGAAGAAGATGAGCTAGTCTCCAGATGCTAGACTGCATGTCTCTGGCTCCCATTCAAGGACTTTTTCAGCTTGGCAGAATCTACCAGTGTCTTGTTCTGCTGGCACAGACTTCGATATCCCAGGTCACCTCCATGTTGGGATGAAACATCACAGAAGGGCTTTTGTAGAAGAGATAATGCTTATTTCTTATAACTAATATTAAAAGCACCAGGCACTTATCATTTCAAAACAGTTTCTGTCATCTCTTTGGGTCATAACTTGAGAGTTACAGCTGGAAGGGATCACAGACTCATGGAACAGCTACTTGTATACATCTTGCAGGATTGGTAGGAAAGAGTACGGAGACTTTTAAATCAGAACATCTGGCTCGGCTACTTATTGCCTATGTAACCCTGGACAAGTCAACCTGGGTAAATATCTCCAAAGCCTAATCTTGAGAAGTCCTTTTTTTTGGGGGGGGGGGGGGGGGTCCAACCTATGATTTCACTACTAGGGAACCCCTCTCTATCCAGGCAATCTGGCAGTCACTCTTAAACTTAAGGTTTTGGAAAATTGCCTGGGATATGGAGAGATTAATTTGACTTGACCATGAACCCAGGTCTTCCTGACTCCTAACACAGGCTGTGTCTATCCATTTAACCATAAAGCCTCTTATTTTTTTTCCCTCAATATTCTAAGGACCAATGATTCACTGGCATGAGGGCCTCTCCCTACTGGTGCAGATCACCAGTAGGTAATCTGCCGATCAGGACCTGCCCAAGGTCCTGACTAGGAGCCACGGTGTTCCTTGACCAAATAGTATCCCAGTGGACGTCCTGTAGTAGAAAAAGCACTGGATTTGGAGTCAGCAGTCAACGACTCACTACTCAACTCTACTACGTGTATGACCCTGGGCAGGTCTTCTAACTTCTGTGAGTCCCAGTTTTCTCATCTGCCAAACAAAGCAGCTAGACTAAGAAATCTCTATAGTCCTTCCCAGCTCTGTTTATGCTCCTAGAATCCACCCCATGCTATAGGAATTCTGGGTCAACCCAATCATAGGCTAAATCCACGGAGTGTGGTCAGCCTTGAGAATATAGTGAACAGAACAGCTCCCAGAAGTTATCCTGTAGGGAAGTACTGTCATGGAAAAAGCACAATGGTTTAAAAGACCTGAATCTACTATTTATTTTCTATGTGGCCTTGGTCAAGTCAATTAGTCTTGCTGTTTCTGTCTCTGTCTCTCCTCTTTACCTTTAGCCTTAATACCTCAGGGCATCATCATAAAATGAGAAGACTGGATCTGATGGCCTCTCCATCCCCTTCTGGTGATTTCCTAATAGATCCTCCCTCCAGGCAACAGTTTAAAACCCAATTTGTGAAAAGGAAAAGATAGTGATCACAACACATAAACCAGGGACTGTCTACACTCACAAAATGTACTGGTCTGTACAAAGTTGTGCTGTTGTTTTTTGCCCCAGATTCCACTTGTTTGGTTTTTACCAGGATGCTGTTACCTCCTGAGTGGCCTGAAAGTTGAACATGAGGCCAACTGCAATTTTTATTGCTAATCCACATAGCCAGCCCACATGCTTCCCCGGATGCCCCCCAAAAACTAACTTCTTGCTGGCCACTAGCATTTCATGATAGCAGGTCATACTAGTGGCTTGGATCAATTCATGATTAATACTGATAATGGTTTTCATGTGGATGCCAAACTGATATTCTCAAAACACAGATCTGACATCATCCTCTTCCCACTCAAAAATCTTCAGTAGCCCCCTATTGCTACTAAGACAGGATACAAAAATCCTCAGTCTGCCACTTAAAACCCTTCACTGTTTGACCCTCACCTCCCTTTGCTGCCTCATATCATATTGCCTCCCTTCAAGAACTCTCCATTCCAGTGAGACTGGCCAATTAGCTCTTCCTTAAAGAGGATATATATATCTCCCACTTCCCTGTCTTTGTAAAAGTAAGCCTTCTTGCTAGAGAATGGACTCTCCCCAGACTTCTGCCTCTTGGAATCCTTGGCTTTTTTTCAAAGTCTAGTTTCAAGTATCACCTTATACATGAAACCTTTTCTGATCCTGCCTCCCCAGCCTTGCACCCTCATTTCTTTGCCTCCTGAAATTACTCTGTATGTATTTTTCATTTACTGATTTATGTAAAAGGTTGTAACTTCCTGGTAGAATACAAGCTTCCTGAGGGCAGGGAAATTCATTTTTTTGTATCCCCATCACCTAGGACAGTACCTTGTGAGTAGCCAGGTTCTTACCTGTTTTAATTGAATCAACTTGATGATTATAATCATGTGACCTATACACACACACACACACACACACACACACACACACAGAGGGATTTCTGATTATGTTTCCCCCTTCCCCCACACCGTGGGATTTGATTCATATTAGAAAACACCCATTCCAGGGTCTTCACTTCAGTCTTTCTAAACCACTTTGCATAGGTGGTTCCACCTATGCTTGGAATGCTCTACTTCGTCATTTCTTCTAGGAAATCCAACTCCCCTACTCCTTGGCTCAGTTCAAGAGCCCCTTCCCTCTAAAGGCTTTTCCTGATCCCCCCAAATTGTTAGTGTCCCTAAAATAACGTTCTTTTTTTGCATGTGTTTTGCATATTCACTTCCTAGTGATCCCCTGGTAGAGTGAGTGCTCTGACTTTTGTCTTTGTTTCTCTAGCACTTACCATACTGCCTGATACGTGGCAGGCCATTAATAAATGTTGGTCAATTAAGCAAGATTAAGCAACGCTACTCAAGGCCAAAGCCAGGGACAGCAAAAGCATCTCCCACCCTCTCCTTCCAGCCCCTCCACTTCCCCTAGGAAGCAAAGCACTGTGGGTGAGGACAGCATCACCTCCAGGCAGCCCACCACCCCAAGCAAATGCCTGTTTGGGCAATTGCACAAAGCATCAGCAGTCAGTTTGAGAAAGTTATGCTGTTTTATTTCACAGGACAGCTCCACGTCAAACCAGCGGCTTGGTCTACAGGGCACCATCAGTGTGTGGGAGGGACAGAGGATGCAAACAGACAGTCTAAATGAAGGACATTTGGTTGTACCATACAGAAACAATATCCAGAGGAACAATGATGATCATCAAAGTGGGGAGGGGAGGGCACAGTTTCCCCGGGTTGCTTAGATTGGTTTGTATACAGTGAGATTGAGGTGGGGGTGGGAATAGGCAAAGGGGATAAAGGGGAAGACAAGAAATGCCAGCCACTGGAAAGTGATCAGAATTGTCTCTACTGCCAAACCGTGTAAACTGTCACACTGCTAGGAGATAATAGAGTTCAAAATGTACAAAAAATCTCTATCCAGGATATACTTTCTGTTTAGGAAAGGAAAAGTGCACTAATGTTCTGGTTACAGAGAACAGTCACATTGGAAGTGGCTGGCATGGGAGAGTTCCAAGGGAAAGAGGAATCAGCTGATGTGGGGTGGGGAGTTGGCAAAAGCTGCCAAGCCAGCACCAGAGAATGGGCTGCCTACTTCTGGAAAGAGCAACCTCTGGAAGCCTGGAAGAGGGGAGCCCAGCAAGTCCCACATGTTACAGGAATGCCACTCCTCCCTGGCCCCTGCCCTCAACCTGGGTGAAGTCTTGGCACAGCTGGGAATCCCAGTTGTCCTGAAGATGGAAAATTCCAAACAATCCAGGAGAAACAGATGTCTGAATTTGAACCCAGGCTTAAGATGTCTGAATTTGCTCTGCACAGCAGAAGTCAACTCATCAACAACCCCCTCCTCCTATTCCCTACTGTCTCTCCCTTCCGTCTCCCCCATCTACACCACCCTTTTTAGGTTTGGGGTCCTTCTGGACTGCTCAATGGTTAGTTGTGAGGCAACCAGAAGAAGCCTTGGCCTGACAGGCATGAACTTTTGACACTTAACAGCTGTGTAACTCCAGGCAACTCACCCCCCCCCCCCCAACCACCACCACCATTCTAAACAGAGGTCTCCTCATCTGCAAAAGAGAGAGAAAAATACTCGCAACATCTACCTCACAGGGTTGTTATGAGGGAAGCGCTTTATGAACCTTAAAGTGCTAAATAAATGAGTTATTATTATCATAGTTATTGTTGTTCCTTGTTGGGGAAAAGGTAAATAAGTGAAAAAATCAGGAAGCAAAAGACTTGGGGGAGGGGAGAGACTGTGACATTTGTCCTTGGGGTCTGTCCTTTGGCCAGGTTCTGCACTTTAAGTGCCAACATACCACCAAGTAGTAGGAAGGCCTCCACATTCGTGCTTAAAAGAATGAGAAAACCCAACAAGGCAACCCAACAAAACCAGTCAAGCAGCTGGTCCAAGTAGCTCAAATAGAAAAGTCCCAGTTATGGTCCTCTTGGAAGCCCGTGTTCCCCTTCAGGTTATGTACTATGAGAAGAAATGTTTTGTAGCTGTTTATCAAGCTGTCCCCTCACTTCCTATCAAAGAATCCAATATTTCAGAGTGGGAAGGGACCTCAGAGCCATGTAGGCCAACCTCAAGCTGAAGAAGAATTCCCTCCGTAATTTGTCCTACGATTACTCCAACGGTCTTTACTGAAAGATCTCCAAGGGAGTCTGGCATCCTATGGAGGTGGCCCATTCAACTTTGGGGTGACTCATTGTTCCAAGTTTTTGCTTTCAGGAAGTTTAAATTTGCTTTTTTTTTTTTTTTTTTTGCCATTTCTGACCAATGTTCCTAGTTCTGCTCTGTGAGGCAGAAACTCCACATGACCACCCTATGTGTCTTCCCCCTCTCCCTCCACCCCCCCCACTCCAAGTTTCTCTTCTCTAGGACGTTTATTCCCTAGTTCCTTCAGCATATCCACCTATGACAAGGACTCAAGGTCCTTCGCCATCTTGGTTGACCTTCTTTGAACACTTTCTACTTTATCATCTTATAAGCCATGACATCAGAAAAGTGGCTCATCTTTTTCCCCACCTCCTACTGCTCCATTTCTTGATTAAAAGGTCCCCTCCTCCCTTGGGAATTTAACCCAATGGTATGAAAGGAAAAAATCAGGCAGCATTCACTTCCCATGCTTAGGATTCATGCCAATCTTGTGTTCTGGGATTTTCTAAAGGCGCTTAAAGGTGAGAAAACATTCGCACTGAAAACAAGAAAAGGCAAGAATTTCATAGAGACCCACAGTTACTAAAGAGGAAAAGAAAAAAAAAAAAGAAGGGGTCAGGGTGGGAAGCAGGGTTTGATCTCAAGTCCCCGAGAAAGATTGGCAAATGACGGTCCTCTCTCCAGGACAGCATGGGAAACTGGACCAGAAATCATGTCTTTGGTCAGTTTTAAATGAGTGTCTCACTGGTTCATCTTTAGAACAGACTGAGCACCTGCCCCCCCAGAAAGACAAAAAGGCTTTGGCCTCAAGAGTTCAACTAAGGTGAAACAAACAGAACAAAAAAACTCCAGAAAGCCAGAGAACTAATTGAGATCATCACAGTTTTCAACAACGCTTAAGAACAAGTGTGTAAACACCACTTCCCCTTTTAAAATTGATTATACTGAGGACTATTAACTTATGATTACATTTCCCCCACACACACACTGTACAGTGAAAGATTAGGTTTGTGGCGGGGAGGGTTGTTTTGTTTTTATATTGATCTATCTACTAAGTGCAAAGATTTGGTCAGTGGCACTGGCTACCATTAACGTTTAGCCTTTTTTTATACAGTTTACATTTCAATAGTTACTTTTATAGCATTTCAACAAACACAACAATATCGATCAGACTAGAACAGGCAAGGGTCAGGAAGATACGAGTTGTGAGGCATGCATGGGTCCTGGCTGTTGAGAGAGAAAAGTGAGAGCAAAAAATCACGAGGAATTTGTCTTCTATTTGCTTCTGCCCAGCAGGTCAGCGTTCACCCTGGGGGCAATGTAGCTATGGTACCTCTACCCAGGTGGGAGGCCTTTCCTGAGTGAGAAAGTGTGAAATAATTCCATAGGAAGAAAATGGGGTGCTGAAAAGAAAATTACTAAGGTTTTATCTACACCAGAGCCCAAGATGACAGTAAATTCAATAGGGGGAAATATCATTGGCAAAATTTGGAGAAGGAAAAAAAAATCATCCCAGTTGATAGGTGGAATTTTTCATTTTGCAGATGGCTGTCTTGGTGGTATGGGATCATTCAGCCAAAATGGCAGAAGGACTAAATTCAGACTTGTGGCTCTTTGGCAGAAGGGAAGAAATCTTTAGTTCCTAGAAGATGATACAACAGGCTTGCAAATAAGTGACCAAAATGTACCAGTCTATATATCTTTTTTTTATAAATGGGCAAGTCTCTTATAGGAAGTTTTTAAAAAAGTGACCACCAGGGTACTTATTCCAGGGATTGTACAGTATAGTGGACAGAGCACTGCATTAGGAGGTAAGTGACCTAGGTTTTTAGCCCTGGCTCTGCTGCTTAGCAGCTGTGTGACCTCAGACAAGGTCACTTCTCTGCAACTCTGTTACCCAATCTCAAAAATGGCAATAATGGTTCAGCAGGGGATTGACTCAGGTGATCTTAGGTCTCTTTTATAATTAAGATTTCCAATTCACAGAACTAAGACTGGCCTCAGGCAAAATTGTGATGGATGTGAAATTTGTCTTTGGCTCCCCTTCCTACATATCCACTCTTCCCCTTTCTGCAGTCTTCAGAACCCTTTCCCTCTCCAGGTACCCAATATCCTCATGCACCCTGGCTCTTGCTATCAGACAGGAAAACATCCCATTCATTAACACTGAGACCTGAGGACTTAATATGACGTGCTTCATGTAGGGAGGGGATACTGTTATATTTTCCAAAGGGTGCAGGTACAATGCTTAAGCTAGAGGAATGAATCACTAATGGAAGAATTCCAGGGATTGATGTTCCTAGGAGGCCAGGGCAGAGGCAGAAGTTCCCTCTGATGTATCTAGTGAGCCCTGCGAGCAACAGATGATGTTACTGATACAAGATGACAACTGGCTCCTTGATAGGCTGGCAAGAAAATTTCACCACCATCTACCCCTCTAATACCAGCAGAAGGTTTTCAAGGGTTTGAGCAGAACTTCCCTTGCTCATCAGCACAGCTATGGAAGTAAATACGAAGTATCTGGTATAGGGAAGTAGGAGTGAAGGAAGAACCAGACAAGGTGAGCATTTGGTTTTCCTGGAGGGAAAGTGAAGATCGAAGAAGGAGGGCTCAGATTCAAACTGGGTTCACCTGTGCTCCAATACCCTGTGGCTTTTGGCACCTCCCTGGGGAAATGGATTCAAGAGACCAGGAGAGAAAAGAAAATGAACTAAAGAAACACAGAGGGTCCTGAACCCAGTCAGGAGAGAGAAGACTCGATCATCATACATTAAGAAATCATGCATCCCTGCTCCATCAGCGCATTTTCTCCTCCCCAAAGGGAGGAAACAGAAAGCAATTTCATTTGCATAAACTCCACCAGCTGTATTATACAGTACAAAAAGTGCAAACTCTTACCCCATCAGACTGGCTCCTGTCTGATCTGGTCAAATATGGCTCATGCGTTTCATGCAAGAGGAGGACCCCAACCCAAGTTAGACTCTCGGGAATGACTGTGCAACTTGAAATAAACCAATGAAAACCAAAGCCTCCTTGCCTGTTTAGTCCCAATTTGACACGGTGATAATTAGTAAAAAAGAGAAAAAGGCAAATTAAGGATTTCCCAAACAGTCTAAGTTAAACCACTATAGTTATACCTATCGGTTTATTACTACTGCTCTGTTGGGTCTGGAAGTATTCAACACCGCTGTATTCTCTTTTTTTTTCCTTTTTTTTTTTTTTAAACACACACAACACTGTGCTACGTTTCGGCTTAGGTACTTATAATCCCCTTTTCTACACACAAATACAACGGTTTGGTGGTCGGGGGTGGGGTGGGGTGGCAAGGTTCTTGTCGTCCATTTTTAGTATACCTTAATGGCAGACGGCTGACCCTCATCCCTCTTGTAGGTTACCAGGAGTTTTTCAAGGCTTGACATGAAGGGGCTCCCCAGTCACTGAGGAAAGCCTGTTTGCCAGTGGCGCTGCTGTCTCCATTCTGAGTAGACAGTTACAGAAGTCGCACCACAGTCTCTTGAGACGCCCACTTACACGGAAGGGAAATCTCCAAAGGTCAGAGCTCTATTGCTTCATGCACAGTTGCTGTGTGCCCCAAAAATCTCCCAGAGAAGCCCCACAAATCCAACCAAACCACTCCACGGGAGATGTTTAGTGGCACAGGTCTGAGGTAAATCTAATTTTCATAAAAAGGAACATGATACTTTGTACACTTGGTATGTGTGTTTACATATATAGTATATGTATATAGATGCATAAATATGTATATATATACACACCCACAGACACATACATACATATCTATATATATATAGAGAGAGAATAATTTCCAGTGACAATAAGCAGAATAAGCCTTTTTACACTTTGCTGAAATCTTATGAAAAGCTTCTGTTCAGATTACTTCAGTGTATGTACATATCCTATGCATATATACACACACTCTATGTCTATCCGTTTCTGCAAATAGATAAATACGGATGGCAACCAATACCACAAACTCAATGCTTCACACATCTTTCCTGGTTAAGTTGTCTTTGGACCACTTTTCTTCTCCGGATACCAAAAGACATCCCCACCCTGGGGTTTGCCCTGGAAAGAAGTGGCCGTCAATAGCAACAACTCGGGTTTCCTTCATTTGAGGCCCTGGGGTTCGGGCACTACATGGTCCCTGACTTATCAGAGGAGCTGTTGGGGAACATCTTTTCGGTGGGGGTCACCGCTGGGCTGCCCATCCCTGAGCTGCTGCTGCTGCTGGATCGGTGCTGGACGACGGGGCGGATGGGCCGCATGGGTGGAGGGCGGAGCTGGGCACCTGCCAGCCGAGCAGACAGCGCAGGTTTGAACGTCGTCATCATCTCTGTGGTGGAGCTGCTGCTGCGGCGCATGGCGGCATCTGGGTCTCGGATGACGATTGTGTGCAGGGGGCTGGCGGGTTCTGAGCTAATGGAGCCCAGAGGTGGGTTCTTCATGGGCTCTAGTGTGTCTAGGACCACATCTGGAGCCTGCTTGACTGTGTTTTGCCTTTCAAGCTCTCGAAGCTCATGGAGGGCCGTGCTCATGGTCTTCTCGATGTCCTACAGGGCGGAAAGAAAGCAAATCCATCAGTATCCTCAACTCTATGAAAGAGGCTAAAGGAATCCCAAGTTCTGCCATTGACCAAGCTATGTGGTCCTGGACAGGTGACCTAACCTCTCTGAGCCTCAGATTTTTTATATGTAAAAGAGGGAGAATAACCTTCCTCTTCCCCCTCCCCCCACTACCCTCCTTATAAGGCTGCTTTGGGGTCAAAGTGTTGTGAAAAGTTAAAAGATCTAGACAAACCTAAGAGATGATTCCTATTGTGAGGATACACTTTCTGAGAAACAAGTCCTCTTATCCAGGTCTACATCTTTGGTTCCTAGGGTCTCAGTCTAGAATCAACCTGGCTTGATGCATGGAACTCCTCTAAATCATAACTGGCAAGGGGTCTTCTAGCCTTGGTTTGAGCATCTCTAAGGTCCCTTCCAGCTTGGCATCTATGATCCTATGATCTCTGGGGACAGGGACCTTAATTCCTTAGCATGGCAGCACCTTTCCATTGTGGGACACTTTTAGTTGTCATCAGGTATATTGAGCTAAAATCTGCCTCTCTATAACTCCTAGTCCTGCCCTCTGGAACCACTCTAAACATGTCAACTCTTCACATGACAGATTAGTAATAGGGACTGACTGATCTGGACATTTCATCGGCATAGAGAACTCCCAGGAGAAGAAACTCCCTTTATCTACACAGGTCTGCATCTTCCCTGAAACTTGAGCATCCTAGAGAGTTGACCAGGGCACTGAGAGGATGTGTCCAAGCGACAACCCTTCACATATTCCTAGGTTTTCGTTTCCAATCTTGATTAAATAACTGTCGCTGGGACCTCAATTAAACATTTAACTTCCTGGAGCTTGGACTTCTCATACCAGAAGTACTCTCTGCCCTTGAAACCCCATCATCTATTTGAATGGTTCTTCTCAGAACCTTCATTCTAGGGAAAACTCTCAGGCCAGTCATGTCCTCATCCTTCTCTAGGCCCCACTCCTGACTATCTGGATTTTCTCCACCATGTCGATGCCCAGGTACCTCTGTCTCCCCTTACACTTCTTCTGTTCTCTTTTATGTATTATCTTCCCCCACTAGAATGTAAACTTCTAGAGGACAGGGTCTGTCTTTTTCTTTACATTTATATTTCTAGCACTTAGCACACTGTAAGTTTAACTTGTTTAAGCTTGTTTAACTGTTTACTAGATGTCCTCTGATAGCCCTTTCAGATCTGAGGCTATGTGATTCTCTGACTCTTAATAATCTTAGCTAGGAAATATTTTCAGTAAGTAAAGTTTGTTTTCAGTGGCAAAGTCTTCCATTCTCCTTTCTATATCCTGTTCCTTTTTTTTTTTTAACTTCATTCCTCCTCAACCGAATATCCAGATGCCATCTGTTGGCATTGTTTCCTCTGGCTGCCCACAATCACCATTGTGGGACACCAGGGCCTCCCCTCCCCACAAAGGGCTCCAACCTCCAAACCTTCCTCACCCAATTGTCTGAAACAAAACTTACCTGTCATGTCCCATGTTTTCAGGGCCTTGCTAGATGACTAGTGCTAATTTAACAAATTAACTGGAACTAAAATATTCATAGTTGACAAAGGCTAAATGTTATCCCTTCTTTAAAAAAAAATCTGCATTTTAATGAAAAACACATACCTTGGGAGAAATGTAGGTACCACATCCCTTCCTCCTCATCTCACATCACTCAGATGCCTTCTGCCTTTCTCCTCTTTTATCCTTGTCTCACATGAAGAGGTGGCCCTTGTCCACGCCAGAGCAAGCATTTCATCCTGTCTTTTCCAGATGATTGCCCCTCCCATCACCCCTACTCTCTCACTAATCTTCAATCTCTCCATGTCTACTGTATGTTTCCCTACCGCCTACAAACAAGCCTACATCTCTTCTATCCTCAAAAAACTCCCACTTGCTCCATTTATCCCCACTACATCCTTCTCGTTTTCCTTTGCTGAATCTTCATCCAGGTCATGCCCATTAACCATGGATATCCCCCAAGGTTCTGTCTTGGGCCCTCTTCCCCTCACCTCTATATTATTTTGCTTGGTGATTTTGTCAGCTCTCACGGATTCAATTATCATCTCTATGCTGATGGTTCTCAGATCTATTTACCTAGCCTTGATCTCTCTCCTAACCTCTAGTCTTGTATCTCCAACTGTCCACTAGACATTTTGAGCTGGATGTCCTGCAGACACCTTAAACTCAACACGTTCAGAGCTAAACTCATTTTCTTTCCCCCCAAATCTCCCCACTTCCTAATTTCCCTACTTCTGTCCTCTCAGTCACCCAGGCTCCCAACGTTGGAGTCACCCTTGACTCCTCACTCTCTCTCACCCCTCAAATCCAATCTGTTGACCAGTCCTGCTGATTCTACCTTTATCACATCTCCTGTGTGCATCCCCTTCTCTCCTCTGGCACCCCCACCAACCTGGTGTGGACCCTCATTACCTCACACCTGGACTACTGGAAATACCCTTCTGGTGGGTCTGCCTGCCTAATCTCTCCTGACCCTCAGCTGTTAAACTGATCTTCCTAAAGCACAAGTCTGACTTTAATCAGTCCCTGCCCCCTACTCAATACACTGCAGTGGTTCCCTATTGCCTTTAGGATCAAATATAAGATTCTTGATTTAAAGCTCTTCATAACCTGGCCCCTTCCTACCTTTCCAGTCTTCATATCCATTGCTTTCCACCATGTATTCTTTACTCCAGTGGCACTGGCTTCTTTTCTATTTCACAAACAAGATCCTCCATTTCTTGGCTTCTGGCATTTCCACTGGCCATCCCCCATGCATGGAATGCTCTCCCTTCTTATCCCCAGCTCCTGGCTGCCTGGATTTCCTTCAGGTCTCAGCTAAAATCCTATCTTCTACAAGAAGCCCTCACCTTAATTCTAGAGCATTCCCTCTGTTGATTTTTCTAATCTGTCCTATGTATATCATGTTTGTACATAGTTATTCACATGCTACTCCACCATTAGACTGTGAGCTCCTTGAGGGCAGGGACTGTCTTTTGCCTTTCTTTGCAACCCTGATGCCTAGCACAGTGTCTGGATTATAGCAGGTTCTTAATAAATGCTTACTGACTGACTCAGGAGACAGCCGTTTAGGACAGTCATGCTCCTGTCTGATTTTCAGTTTATCTATGATAAATCTTGCTTTCAACATTTTTTTTTACCTCATTATACATTCTGTTTAATTAATTCATCTGTTGATACCACTGCTTCCTTTGCTTATTCTAGCCTAGTAGGCTGGCTGAAAGATAAAACTTAAAAAACAAAAACAAAAACAAAACCATTTCATTACTTCCCTCACTTTCCCCCAAGGAAGGTGTGAGCCAGAAAGACAGAAAGCTTAAGAGAAAGAGCAGCTTGGCTGAAGCTTGTGCCATGCATTGGTCTCAGAGGTGATGCCGTCTTTTCCCAGCATGAGGGTGCACAAAGGAGATAGGGAGAGGAATAAAATAGATGGATAAGCCAACAGCTCTCCGTATCCTACAGCGGGACTTTACGTCAGAGCTTCATTATTTAGTCTGAAGTGTTTCAAGTTCTCAGAATATCAGCTATGGTTACTACAGTCAAATAGAAATGGAAAAGTCTATTCCAAAACCAAGTCAATGGTAAGGTTTGTTATTTTTTTTACAATAAGGAGAAATTATCTATTATTCTAGACCGTTCATGCCTTGGCTTCCCTTCACAATTACACACTCATTAAGAAATGACCATAGCCCCCCTCCCATCCCCCACTAATTTATCAATTCACAAAAACTGGGGGAGGGGGGCAGATTTTGCCTCCTAGGCATACGCTTTCCCTTTTCCCCATAATTCAGAGAGGAATCAAATTGAAACTTGAACTTTTTTCTTTCATACTGCAGGATAAGGCTAATGATTCCCTAGACAACAGAGTGCCATGCTACAACAAAGCTTACATAGACTGATATCTAGTTCTTGGGTCAAGCTGTGGTTTCTGAGTACATGCTCTGTCAGCGCCTGGCCATGGGAACTTGGACAAGTGATATCCTCTCTCTTCTGAGTCTCAGTTTTCTCATTTGTAAAATGGGAGGACTAGTTGAAAATCTTGAAAGTCTTGCTCAGCTCTAACATTCCACAGGTCTATGAAATTCTTTGAGTCTCTAATAATAAGAGCTATTTATATATCTAATAATAATAATAAATATATATCTAATAAAAAAGCACTTTGAAGATTGAAAAGCATACTATCTTCTTTGAGTCTCACAATGACCTGTGAGGAAGGGATTACCAACTGTTTGATTGCTTTGGGGACAGACCTATTATTTTTTCAGAGTAAGGAGCTTCTGGTATGGAGACTCCCTCCATGGATGCACTTCAGCTTCTAGGCTGCAACTGTTTCCAACCTGGGCCAGTTTAGCCCTCTTTAGGCAGCCTAAGTGTCATTTTTCTCCCTGCAACTTCATCTTGGAGAGTTGGGTGGGGGCACTAAGTGACTTGCCCATGACCATACTAAGTGTCAAAGGCAGGATTCAAACCCAGGTCTTTCTGATACCACGTCCAGTTCTCTATTATGCCACTTCCTCTTTCCTAAAGTGGGAAAAGAAATATGGTATATTGGAAAGAGTGCTGCATTTGAGCTTCATTCTTGGTTTTCCTATCAGGGTCACCTCACACATGTAACCTGCCCTCTCAGTCTCAGTTTCTCCCATCCATAAAGTGGGGAGAAAAATCCTTATACCGTCTACTTTGCAGGTTTGTTGCAAAGAGTGTGCTCAGTAAAGCTGAGCTACACGTTAAAGAAAAGAGAGTTTCTGAACAGCCTTCTAGACATTCCTCCCACACCATACTCCAGCTTGCAATAGGCTGATCTTCGTGCCTGGAATGCACTCACTCTTCCCTCTTCTCAGCCTCTTAGATGCCCTGGCTTCTGATAAATCTTCAAAGCTCAAAATCAGTATCACCTTCTACATGAAGCTTTTTCTGTTCTCCTACTCGTGAATGCTTTCCCCTAAAATTACGTTGTATAGATTTTGTATGTATTTTATAAATACACTTATACATGTGTCTGTGTTATCTCCCCCGACAGAATGTAAGACCTCTGAAGGCATCCAAGATTTCATTTTTGTATTTGCATCCCTATACCTTACCATGGTGCCTGGCACATAATAGGTGTTTAATAAAATACTTGTTGAGCAATCATTAATTTCCCTCGCTAGGAATCTACATGAATCTTTACGAATACTTATTTTTAAATATATCAGCCCACAAACATTTTCAACCAGCAAATGATAAACTAGCAATTAGTTTAGAGGCAACTGGTGGCACAGTGGGTAGAAGTCTGAGCCTGGAGTCAGGAAGACCAGAGTTCAAATCCTGCCTTAGATATTGACTAGTTGTTTGACCTTGCACACTGAACCTCTCTCAGCTTCAGTTTCCTCATCTGCAAAATGGGGATAATGATAGAATGTACCTCCCAGGGTTGCTGTGAGGATCAAATAAGAGAACATATATAAAGTGCTTTGCAAATCTCAAAGTGCTATATAAATGCCAGCTATTATCATTATTATCAGCAAGAGCTACAGTGTCAATAGTTGAGAAGGACTCCATTGGATACTCTTTCCAGAGGACATTTGTATTTTTAATAGAAATCATCAATGCCTTAACCCAGGAGAGTGGACATTGGGGGTTTTACTCAAGGGAGTGAATGAACAAATCAGGGAAGCCACATTCGTGACTCGTGGCCCAGCAGAAGCCAATTCTTGTTCTAGATGAGGGTGCAAAGGGGCATTGGCCAAAGGGCCCTACTTTTTCCCTCCCCCTATTGCCCTTCTAGGGGGACCACGCTCCGTCAGCCCTGCCGCTATCTCCTTACTTCTGCCAGGGCCTCAGCCTCCAAAGATTTGTGGTCTCCGAGGCTGCTGTGCCGCGTGGAGCCGCAGGTTGACCTCAGCGGGTGCCCATCGGAAAGGACCTTCTTGTCCGGGTAGTTGATGCTGCCAGCACTTCCGAATGTTGCCATCCTCCGCTTCTCTGGGCTCTCGATCCTGCCTCGGTTGAGGGGAATTTTGTGGGGGCTGCTGGGGCAGGCAGCTGCTCGAGGTGGGGTGTCTATCCCTGGACCCAGGCCCCGAGGTGGGCTGTGTGTATCACCCCCACTCCGGCGACGGGGGATGGCAGCCCCATCTGATCTCAACCGTACTCTGCAAAGGAGCCATGGGGCAGGGGGTCATGGGGAGACAACTTTCAAACATCTCAGCTAACCCATGGGAATTTTACATGAGCTTTAAGTGAGCATAATAAAACCTCATTAACTCAAATTTTTCATAATTTGAGCAAACATCAGCCTAGTTTTCCTTTGTACTATTTGTTAAAAAAAAGGGGGGGGGGTTGCTAAGTGGACAAACAGTATTGTTTGTTTTATAAAAAGGGGAATGTTTAACCTACTTCCAAGAATAATCTGTTTTCAAAAATTTAGCTAACAATCTGCAGACAATTAATGGGTTAATAATAATTTTTTTCCCTAGTCATTAAAGCAGTATCAGCAGGACCTCGATTTGCTGATGCTTTATTGGCAGCTAGAGTTATGACCACATGCTTTACCTAAGCAAAACTCCATCTCTACAAAAGGTGCTCTGTAATTCTGACTTTGGAATAAATGTAGATATATGTGCCTTCTCCCAAGAAATCTGCATCAGTGAGATCTGACTGGACCAGAAACATACCCTCCAGAAGAATATTTTTGCTAGCTTGTAGTCCCCCAAAAATGGACCCAGAGACAAAATGAGGTATCATTCACCTTGGACAAATGGCCATTTATGTACCAGGCTGTTGTCAGAGCACAGGATGTTCATGTAAACTGGACGTTGTGTCAAGATCCCTGTGAAAAATCTGAGCGGTGCTCATGGAGGACTCATTAAACATTGGCCAGAAGGCACAGACACTGGAGGAGGGGTGGGATGGCTGTCTATTTATGATTTTGGTGTAGGGATGGTTCCAAGGGCAGGAAACAAGCTGACTGAGAAAAAGAAGCCCATCACTTAGCCCCTTCCTCAGGCATTTTAGGAGTTCTGCATTATATTTCAGTGGCATACTGGACTATAGCCTCCTACGGCAGAAAGGTCACTGAGCTTAGGCAGACTTGGGTTCTAGTGGTCATATTATTGACCTGTTGCGTGATCCTTGGCAAATCACCAGAGGAGGATAATCCTTGTCTGCCTTGTACCTTGTGAGTATCAGATTGGATAATGGATGTGAAAGTACTCTGCAAATGTAAGCTACTGCATTTGGTGAAGGTCACAAAAAGACTTTGAAGAGGCTGTTTAGGCAGGGAGGGCAGGCTGGAAGGGGAGGGGGATGCTGTTTGAGTGTTTTGAGAAAGAAGGTTGCGTAACAGGGGACTGAGTGTTAGATATGGTCAGGAATTCTTTAGTCCTCAGGGTCATTAGTTAAAGCTAAGCAATGCCTGTGGGTGTCCCCCAGCAGGCCTGAGGCACAGGCAGAGAAGAAGGAAGAAAGGGTGAAGGAAGGAAAGAAGAAGAGGAAAGGAGAGAGGAGCTGATGGTGGGAAGGAAAAAGAGCGAGGTAGGAAGAGAGAAATGGGAAAAGAGGAGAGAGAGAAAGAGATATAGAAGAGAAAGACAGAGAGTAAGAAAGAGAGGAAAGGAAGGAAAGGGAAGGGAGGGGAGGGGAGAGAAAGACAGACAGAGATAGAGAGGAGAGAAGAGGGAAGGAGAGGAAGACAGAGAGAGAGAGAGAGAAGGGGGGAGAGGAGAAGAGAAGAGGAGGAGAAGAAGGAGGACAGAAGAGGACAGAAGAGCAGAGGGAGAAAGAGAGAGAGAGAGAGATACAAGAGTAAGAAAGTAAGAAAGAGAGAAGGGAGGAGACAGATATGAAGGAGCTATATGATGGATCTGAATCCAGGTCCCAGGCTGCCAACTTGTTTAACTCCTTCCCCACTCCCCACCCGATTAGTTTTATGCCAGGTGTTTCCTGCACCAACTTTAGCTAAACACAGGCGGTACCCATTCAATCTAGCTTTGCCCAGCACCGAACTTGTGCTCACCTGCTAACTCTTCCCTCCCTCAAGCGCAAGAAGTCACGAGATATAGCAAAACAAGAGCCCGTCCCTACCGGCCCATCGCTCCCCCAAATCCATAGTCAGTGATGTGCTCTGTGGGGGACTGGAGGTCGTTCTTGGAAGAGGCCTTGTCATCCAACAGGGGCCCGCTGCTGGCTTCACTATCAGCCTTCTGGCTCAGGCTGTCCGAGAATGCATCGTCCCTGGGGACACCAATGGACATGAGTCAAGGATGGGAGCTGCCTCCCAGACTAACAGCAATGAATAGGAAAGGTAGATGTAGCTGCCCCAAGACATCCCTGAGTCCCACTTATCCAGAACTTGCTCCCCCACCTGAGGGAAATCAGATCTCATTCTTGCCTACCGTTGGACCTGAGCTAGTTCAGGTATCTGCCAACTCTCTTATTCTTTGCTTTGGCCATCAACGACGCCTTTAGCAGTTTCCCTTCAAATAAAAGAACTCCACCAGACTTTTGTATCTCCATATTTGGGCCTTTTCTTCCTCACACCCTGAAGAGCTAGACCCCAGCCAGATCAAGGAATTATGGCAAGGGGAGACAGAGGATAGGACTGAGCGGACTTTTAAAGGCAGGATGCTGCCTGGTGAGCTGGGTAGTCATATAGGATACGGCTTGTGGCCTAGAATATTGAAGGGAAGAAGCTGGAAGCCCGCATTCTCTATCTATCCACCCAGGGCCTGTCCTTGTATTATATTCATTTGTATATTAATCTTATTTCTTATCACCCTTGCATTAAATGATAAATTTCTTGAAGTCAAGGACTATACTATTTTTCATCTTTATGTCTCCAGTGCCTAATATCATGCCTTAAATGCTGGCACAGTAGATAGAGTTCAGGACCCATAGTCAGGAAGAGTTCAAAGCCTCCCTTAGACATACTCAGCACATACTTAGTTGTGTGATTCTGAGGAAATCATTTAACCTCTATTTGTCTCATTGTCTTTATCTGTAAAATGAGGATAATAATAGCACCTACTTTCCAGGTTTGTTGTGAGAATAAGATGAGATTAATATTTGAAAAGTACTTTGTAAGTCTTAAAATGATATACAAATGCCAGGTATTATTATTATCACTATCATTATTTATTATTATTATTACTTAATAAGTGCTTACTGAATTTCATTAACTGAACGATTCAGGAGGCAAAGTATAGCATCAATGTTCCTCCTATCCCCTTTCAATAATCTCTCTTTTTCATCATCTCCCAAGCATCTGGGGCCCTCACAGTGCTTGCTAGCTACCCAGAAAACACCACTACAGAGGACCTGTACCATTCACTACCCCCATCAAAACTTACCTGTTCTGGGTCTTGTCCCTTCAGTCCTTACTGAGAGGGAGACTGAGAAATTAATTTTACTTAAGGCATTAATGGCTGACAATGGCTTCATGTGGCCCCTTTCCATTCCCCTTACATTCAGACAGGGTCCCCCAGATTCCTGAACTGTGAGCATTGGGAACATGAATGATGTGTGACTGGACCAGGCAAGACACATTTCTCAGGACTTTTGTCATTCTTTAAATTACAACAAATAAGTATTAAATGCCTGGAATATCTATGTTCAAATGCAATGAGCCTATTATTTATAGGGCATATGCCAGGGACAGGATAAAAAGATAAAAAGGAACAGTTGACACCCTTTTCCTGCCCAGCTGGAGACAGAGAGAACATGAACTTTCCATGCACGTGAGTGACAATATGAATATGGGTAAAGACTGGCCTTGGTGGAGTCAAGGATGGACTGAAGTATGGAACCAAGGACATTAATCATTGTGTCCGTACACCTAGAAGAGAGTTGTTTGCATATTTGTGAAGTATATCAATGTTAAAGGAGAAGATATCCCAGTCCTTGGAAGTAGATAAATGTGCTAAGTGAACTAATTCAATCAGGGGTAAGCTGAGGATGGAACCCTGGAAATCAAAAACTTGGGACATTCCAGCAAGAATCAGACTAATGCAGGATAAGGAGGAAAGGATGACCTCAGTCCTGTCTCACGTGGACCAGGTCAGGCAGTCCCCAAGCCTACTCACATGTCTTGCACAACGATGTACTGATGGGGGATGAGTCCATCCACTCCATTGTGCCGGCCTTCCCACCAGTCTTCGGAGGCCCGGTGGTACAGGAGGAGTGAGGCCCCCTTCTTAAAAGACAGCTCTCGGGGGGACCGTCCCACATAGTCAAACTTGGCAATAGCTTCGATCTGCTCCACTTCTGAAAAGGGCAAGAAGAAGCAAGTATGTGAATGGAAGTCATCTGTGGCCTAAGGAGAGGTGGGATTGGGGGCTTCCAGCTTCTTAAGAAACAGATAGGCAGAGCAGCATAGACCTGGATTAGGAATTAAGATATCTGGTTTCTGTATCAGCTCTGGTAAGTCCTGTGTGACTCTGGACAAGTAATCCAGACTCCCTAGGTTTTAGACCCTCAATCTATAAAATGGTAATCAATGCTAAGTAATTCTAAGTAACTCAAGCGATTCTGTCTCAAGACTTTCTCCTCTCCAGTCCATCCTCCACAAACCTGCCAAAGTGATTTTTCTAAAGCACAGCACCAATCGTGTCACTCCCCTGCTCAGTGGACTCCAGTGGCTCCCCGTTGCCTTGAAAATCAGATACCAGCACTTCCATTTCATTTGTCTAGCCCTTTTACGACCTGACTTCCAGCCTTGTAACTCATTTCTCCCCTTCACCCAAATCTCTGGTGCTGGGTCCAGTCAGGCCAGCCTTCTTACTCTTTCTCATACATGATACTTCTGTCTTCCACTCCCCTTTGCACCGGTCATCCCTTGATCCTGGGGTATATTTACTCCCCATTTCCATCCTTGGAATTCCTTCTTTCCTTCAAAATATCGCTCAAGACTTACCTTCCACAGGAAGCTTTTCCCTTATTCTTCCCCAGCCCTGCCCTGTCCACAGCTGCTAAGGCTTTTTCCCATAATATTACCATATCATTTCATAGATTTAAATGTGTGCGTGTAGTTCTCCTCCCCCTTTAGAACATCAGCTCCTTGAAGGCAGAAGCAATTTCCTATTTGTCTTGATTGCTCTGAACCTACAATACAGCAAGTGCTTAAGAAATGGTTGCTGGTCACTCAATTGGCCTCATTTAGGGTTAACTCTGTGACCTTATTCCCTTATTCTCTACAATCTCCTATTATAGGATCATAGCCTTGGGGCTGAAGAAACCACAGAATCCAACCTTCCTCATTTTTAACAGATAAGGAAACTAAGGCAGACAGGGGTTAAGTGACTTGTCCAGGGTCACATGGCTAGTTAGTGTCTGAGGCAAGACTTGAACTCAGGTCTTCCTGATTCTAAGCCCAGTGCTTTTCCACTGTGCCACCTAGCTGTGTCTATTATTGACTGGCACATGTGTCTGGAAATTAGAAGCCACTGCATGCATTCTAAAGGCAATGGCCTGGTCTATTTTTTAGCAGCCTGTGATAGGGCTGACCTTGAGGGTCTCATCAGTTTAGAAATGCTATAAGGAACCTTAGCAATTACTCAAATAGATTATGAAACTGAGGACCAGAGTTTAGTGATTTAACAAGAGCTTGGATTTGAATTCAATCTCTCTAATTCCAAATCCAATGCTCATTTCTTTACATAGGGGATCTTAACCCAAGGTCTATGAACTTTAAATAGATAGATAGATAGATACCTATACTTCAATGTAATTGGTTTCTTTTGTAATCCCATATATTTTTATACATTTAGAAGCATTATTCTGAAAAGGGGTCCATAGGCTTCATCAGACTGATAAAAGTGCTCAAAATACACAGAAAGGTTAAGACCTGCTTTAGAGTGTGGCCCTGGGTTCAAATCCTCCTCTGACTGTATTACTTGTGTGAGTAAATGAGTTGGACAAGATCCTCAGTTTCCTCATCATTTTGCTTATGTGGGTTATATCTATTAATATTTACCACATTACAAATTAAAACACGATAAATTAGAGGTAATCACATACCCTGCCTCCCCCACTTTACTACTGGTTTTAGCATAGAGCCCTAGCAGTAGGTTCATTTAGTTGAAAGGTATGATTAGTTTTGTGACTTACTGAATTTTGCCATTGTTGTTATCCAGTTGTGTCCAATTCTCCATGACCCCATTTGGGGTTTTCTTGCAAAGATCCTAGAGCTGCTTGCCATTTCCTTCTACATCTCATTTTACAGATGAAGAAACTGAGGCAAACAAGGTTAAGTGACTTGTCCAAGGTCACACAGCTAATAAGTGTCTGAGGTCAGATTTGAACTCAGGAAGATGAGTCTTCCTGATTCCAAGGCCAGCACTCTATTCACTGTACCATTTAACTGCCCAAGAAATCTGGGAATCAAACCCCAGTCTCCCATGTGACAGGCAAGGATACTTATCACTATACTATCGAATATTGCCATATTGTTCTCCAAAATGTTTGCAGGATTATTTTTTATCAGCCAGAATATTTGATCAACCAGAAGTTCCCAGCCATGCTACCTAGCAGGGAGCTTGCTGCAAAGACAACGCCCTGGTTTTATATCATGCTTTTCCTCTAACAAGCTCACATCCATTTCTAAAGCACTTATTCTCATTCTTGTCACACTGCTCCTAGGAAGTAGGTCAGCTGAAATATTGAGATCTGTTAGGCATTGCACGTGCATGCACTTAGGGATTATTGAGAAAGATGGTCTTAGGGTGAGGGTAAAAAGCCTTTTCATGATGAGGACCACTGATTCAGGAGGCAAAGAAAACAATCTAGAGCCACACCCACCTTAAAAAAAAAAGATTTTAATTTGCAGAGAGAGAGAGAGAAGGGGAAGGGGAAGAGAGAGAGGAAAGGAGGTAGGGAAAAAAATAAGGGGTGGGGGAAGAGAGGGAGGAGGGAAGAAGAGACAGAAACAAAGAGAGGGAGAGGGAGAAGAGGGAGAGAGAAGGAGGAGGGAGGGAAAAAGAGAAAGAAAACACCAGTATTGAGAGGTAGAAGAATGGACACAGAGAGAAATGGTTTAGGTTCTGATAGGAGTTTAGCCACTCTCTGCTTGAGTTGTAGGAATAGAAATCAGCTATTTTCTGTTCTCTTGCATTTGTCATACTAGGTGACTTGGGCAAGTAGGGTCTTACTTTCCTCCTCTGTGAAATGGGAGGGTATTACTCAGTGATATCTAAGGTCGGGTCCAGCTATGAACCCATGGCTTTAAGAACCCTTCTATGTCCTCTAGGGCCCCTCAGCTGCTCTTGTCCTCCAAACTCTGCTTGGAGGGACAACCTCACAGCAACTCCCCAGGGCTAAATTATTCTTTGAGTGAGAACATCTGTGCAAACCTAGTATTACCTAGCATTAGTATTCAGAGAAATCCAGCTAAAGGGCTACATTTGTAGCAGGCCATGGATTCTCCAGTCTTCCTTATGGGATGGAAGTATCATAGACCTATTCTGAAGGCCAATTAGTCCAAACCCTTCACTTTACAGATGAGAAAACAGAGGCTTAGGAGACTTAACAACTTGCCCAAGGTCCCACAGATAATAAGCCACCAAGGCAGGATTTGAACCCACTTCCTCTGACTTCAGAGCCAAAAATATTTCCACTGTACCATGGTGTCTACTAAGAGGCTAGTCCTTACAGTGTCTACTGGTGATTACCTCTAATTTATCCTGTTTTAATTTGTAATATGGTAAATCTTAATAGATATAACCCACATAAGCAAAATGATGAGGAAACTGAGGATCTTGTCCAACTCATTTACTCACACAAGTAATACAGTCAGAGGAAGATTTGAACCCAGGGCCACACTCTAAAGCAGGTCTTAACCTTTCTGTGTATTTTGATATATTATATATATTATTATATATATATTATATATATTATATATGTATATAATATATATTATATATATATATATTCAGTCTGATGAAGCCTATGGAACCCTTTTCAGAATAATATTTCTAAATGTGTAAAATAAAATACATGGGATAACAAAAGAAACCAATTGTATTGAAGTACAGGTATCTATCTATCTATCTATCTATCTATCTATCTATCTATCTATCTATTTAAAGTTCATAGACCTTGGGTTAAGAGCCCCTATGTAAAGGAATGAGCATGAATTTGGAATTAGATTGAATTCAAATCCAAGCTCTTGTTAAATCACTAAACTCTGGTCCTCAGTTTCATAATCTATTTGAGTAATTGCTAAGGTTCCTTACAGCATTTCTAACCTGATGATCCTATAATCTCAACTCTGACATTTCATGATTCAAACAATAATGCATATTTTATAGCACTCCATGATTTACCAAGTGTATTTCTCACAATAACTTTATGAGGTTATTGTACAAATATTTTAACTGCATTTTTTTGGTAAGCTGTGATTTCATTGGAACAGAGACATCCTCAAGAGGAGGCTCTTTGTACCAATGCAGATGACATATGTTTGAGCAACATCTAGTCCTAGAGAGTTGCCTGAGGCACCAAGGGGTTAAGGGATTAGCTTAGGGTCACATAGCCAGTGTAAATCAGAGGTTGGATTTCATTAACTCATGCTGTCCTTTCTCCAAGGTGAGCCACCTAGCCACTGTTAGGCTGCCTCTATCCCATTTTACAAATGAGGAAACAGAGAATCTACCATTTTATTATTTGATCATGATGGGGAAAACCAACCTCAAAAGAATAGATTAAACCAGAGAAGCAGCAATGGACTCTCTGTGTTAATTGTGTACAACCTGCTATTACAAGCACTCATATGCAAATGAAGTATGCATATCAATTAGCAAAATGTCAGCCTTTCAGGAAAGGGACAGGCAATCTACAGGACTCTGCTTCTAAATAGAGCTCTGCAGGAAACACCATAGCGGAAATCAGCTTGATATTCAAAAGAGAACTTTACAAATTCCCCAAAGTCCCCATAGCAATAAGGAACATATTAGCAACCATTTCCATCTTTTCAGCTTGAGGTTCCATGCTTTGATATCTCTTTGTTTTCACAGATTTTCATCCAGTCAGTTAATATCTTCTCATCATTCTCTTGAGATAGTTACAACTGGAAGGGACAGAAGCTCCCCACTGTCCACAGGATACCATTTGAACTCCTTAGCTTGGTATTCAAAGCTCACCCATTTGGTCACTTAACCTCCCTGGGCCTCAGTTTCCTCATCTGTAAAATGAGGACATTAGACTAAATGACCTTTATGGTCCATTCCAACTCTACATCTACAGTTGTAAATTCTCAACCTTATCTCCCA